GGAGTAGGCACTTTGTGAATGGTGTAGGATAACTACCTGTTCAGTTGTGGCACTGACAGTCCCATGTTCTAAAGACCACTGGTCCTAGGCATACTAGACAGTTTGGGTAAATCTGGGGTTAAATGGTTGGTATCAGTCGAGGATGGAAACTGTTTAGAGACGTAAGAATGGATGAAGCCAGTAGACACTGCTTTGGAGTGCTGTGTCTGGGCTTGAACCTGACTCCACCGCCTCCATTGTCGTTTTAGGCAGATCACTTCCCAGGTCCTCTGGAAAATCCCAGAAAGCAGAGTGTTTCCTGCTTGACAGATACTGGCTCTGTCTCATACTTGTTAGCCCCTTCCTGTCTGGACGCAGATAATGTTGAGAAAGGGAGGACCAAGTGCCAGGACAAGAGCCAGGTGCCAGAGACACTGACTGAAGGCTCACGTTCCTTGCCTTCCTGAACTCAGCCTTGTGCCATCTCTCTGGCTACAGCATGGAAGAGGCGCTTTAGGAATGTTTCTCTAGGACTTCTGCTTGGGCACCCACACATGCTCCTTTTGGGACATTGAGGGGAGAGTATACTGAGTCCCTACAGAACAGCCAGTCCCCCTTCCTTTTGGAAGTCCCAGCTCCATCTCTTACTAGGAGCATGGTTGCTAGTGACCATAACATCTTTAGACCTTAATTTATTGTGAAATAGCAACAGTATGATTTCCACCTAATAAGTTGTTTAGAGGCTTGAGATCATTTCTGCTAGCACTTAGCAGAGAATCTTCCATAGAGGAAACAAGAAGTGGAGGGAACAGGATAGTTCCATTCTCCACATGGAAGAGGGTATTGGAGACCATCTCCTTTGTTCCTTTCCCCAGTCTTGAGCATGCTAGGGAGAGGTCCACATTTCACTGCTGTGCCTGTGCTTGGGCTCTGCTGGCTAAATAGTAGGTGCTTAACAGTATTGACTTATGATCTGATGATGGTATTGATGGCATGACCTATCTTCCAGGATTAGTAAACATAAAATAAGAAAATGAATGGAAAAGACAAAAGCCTAACACTTGATAATGTCCCTCCACTGTTCACTGTTTGCTCAGGTGTCGTTTGTTTCTCCTTACTAACTAGTCAAGCACTTCTCCAAGGCACAAATTACTTACCTCTTAAGTCCCACTTTGTCTAACACAGTAGCCCCCCTAGAAGATTAATTGAATGTGAATGGCATAGGAAAACAAAGGAATTATGGGGCTATTCTTAAGAGCCAGAAGGAGGACTTATAAATACAGACTGGGTCTTCTTTCCTCTAGGACAGAAGCTCTCATCATTTCCTGAAAGAAAGATAAAACAAACAACTCTCTTCTTTCTGGGAGAATAATGAAATTGGGCAAAGGGAAAGGAAGAGGGGCAGGGATAGTGCTGTTATGATCTAAGAGCAGCTAGAGTAGAAGCTAGCACCTGGGCACATCTTCACAGACCCTTGGGTTGGAGTTGATACCATCTGCTGTCTTTGTGCTTTAACAGTCAAGAAAATATTTGGCATGGCTTAGGCACACCTGATACGTAGCTATGCCATTGTGCAGCATAGGGCTCCTCTGTATGGGCTGGTGCTGCGGGGCGTGGGCTTGCTGAATAGTATGGGAAGGAGGGGAGTATCTAGTGAGGTCTTTCTGCTCTGATCCCTCAGACTGTCTTCTTTTGTAAATTTTATTTGTAATTATGTGCGAGTATGTCTGGGTATATAGATGTAAGTCCAGGCGCCCTGGTAGGTTAGAGGCTTTGGATCCCCTGGAGTTAGTTACAGGTGAAGGTGAACCACCTGACATTGGTGCTGAGAACCAAACTCAGGTTCTTTGCAAGAGCAGCATATGCTTTTAACAACTGAGTCATCTCTCTAGCTCCATTTAAAACTTACTTTTTAAAAAGATTTTGAAAGAGTATTCTGTCACAAGCTCTTCTTTGCACTTCAGTGATTCAAATGAATAGGTCATGTGCAGTCATGTGGTTATAGCTCCTGATGCTGCTGAGGAAAGACTCCAGAGGAGCCATGTTGTGTATCTCCTCTTGTGAATCCCCCTTTATTTTTGAGGACTACTCCTGGCTGATGGACCGACACTCTGTGTCCTGAGTGTCTGAGACATTTTCTTTCTTTCTTTTCTTTTCCCCCGTGGAGCTGAGACAGGTCTCAGGAGGGTGTCACTGAATTTGGTCTCTAGCTCCATGTCCCTGTGAGTGAAGGAACTGACAGCAGGAGAGTTTGAATGCTGAGCTGCAGAGCCTGCTGAGAAAGCTTATTCAGTTCTGGTCAGAGCAAGAGCTGAAGCACATTGTGTTTTACAATACTAATGAAATTCCAGATCTGTAATAGCATTTCAGATATCTAAAACAAACCGTGTGCTTGTAAAAAAGTGGAAAGAGATCAACTTTAAGCCATACATTCTTGGTAATAGAGGTTTTCCCCCCTATTTATGTTTGATAGATATTTTTGTTTCCAGAGGAATGTCAACTCCTAATTTCATAATGTATCACAGGCTTAAGAAAATTGAATTTAATAAAAGCCAAAGATGAATGGCATCCTTAAAGGTCCCAACACTTGTCTTTATTAAGCAGGACAAACTGCAGGTCTCCAAACACTGTTTCTTTCCAAATGAAAGTTTAAATGAAAAGTACAGTTGTGTCACAGGTTAAATCTCATTGCGGGCCTAGCTAACATTGTTAGTGAGGGGCCGACTCTCTCTGTTTTCTTAGATAACTAGGGCAGCCAAACTCACCAGGCTGTGGAGCTCTTTCTATTGGGGGAGTATTTCTCCTGCTAAGCAGGAGAAGGAGGATTTACTACAAATTCAGAGGTCACAGAGGGCCTGACTCATGAGCCACAGCTCAGAGCTGACTCTTGGGAATCGTGGATATGTGAATTTTTAGGAACAGCAGTATGTATGGTGTATGTACTCAACTTAGTTTCTGGGGCAAAGCTCCCCTCTGCTTGGCCTGGTTTGTGGTCCTTTGTGGGAACAAAGGCCTAGCCAATTGGAGAATGAACCCTTCACTCCGCTGGGAGAAGTGTCTCTCATCTGTCCTAAGCAGCAGTTCAGGCCTTTTTGCCCTTGCCTTGCATCCATCAAGCTCTTCCTGTGTCTTGGTAATAAGCTCCCTTCGGTTTCTTCATCTCTGGGACTCAGCCCAGGGGACTAGGCAAGCTCCCTTCAGCTTCCCCATCTTTGGGCATCAGCCTAGGGCAATGGTTTACAACCTCTGGGTCATGACCCCTGGGGTCTAACGACTCTTTCACAGAGGTAGCCTAAGACCATTGGAAAACACAGATATTTACATTATGATTTGTAACAGTAGCAAAATTACAGTTATGAAGTAGAATGTAAATAATTTTGTGGTTGGGGGTCACTCCAACATGAGGAACTGTATTAAAGGGTCACAGCATTAGGCAAGTTGAGGACCACTGACCTAGGGGAACTAGGCAGTCAGGACCTTTAAATTTTTCTGTTATGAAATCTAACTGCCTTGATTTGTTTTTCAGCCTTACTGTTACGTTTTGAGTTGAAATAAATACTGAAAATAAAATAAGTCCAGCCAGGCATTGCTGGCATACACCTTTGATCCCAGCAAGATGTCTGAGTTCGAGGCCAGCCTGGTCCACGGAATTAGTTACAGGATAGCCCGGGTTACACAGAAGACCATAATATTAGTGAATCTATTTCTCAAGGATGGTAGTTGTATTTTTTGGGACGTGCAGGCAATTGACAACTTTCTGTTTTCCCACCCACTGATTACCTGAGTGGGGTCGGTACTCAGCAGTGGTGAATTCTGTATTGTGTCTCCAGACAGTCTCTGCAGAGAACTAGTTTGCCTTGGTTTTGATGATGCCAGAAGGATGTTCTCTGGAATGAGGGTTCTGGGGTAGGTATGCCCCTGGAGCTGATGGTTGGGGCCCTTGTATGGGCAAAACTCCTTTCTTGTCTCTGCAGTGGAAGCTTTTTCACATGCTAATTTTACTTGGAAGATTTTGCTTTTATTTATTTTTTTTATTATTTCCTATTTGTCTCTTCCAGATGTTTTCAGGGCAGTTTTTTTTGTGTGTGGGTGTTGTAAACTAATTCCATTCATGTTTTAAAAATTTATGAAAGCGCTAATAAAAATGTCAAAGTGGTAAAAATGTTAGCTTTTCCTCTGCTTTGATTAAATTTTGCAAACTGTTTTTGAATATTAAAAAGCAATATATTTTTTTATTCTCTCCCCTTGGTTTCCCTCTTCTTTCTGGTGCGCGTGCTCTCTCCTGCCCTCTTCCCCCCTCCGGAGCATCCCTCCCTTTCCAGGAAGGATGTATGAGGCGTGCTGCACAGCCAGCGTTCTGCAAGCCTGTTTGCACACCAGGACCTTGGTGCTGTGCATCTCTATTAAATAACGGAGACAAATTAATCTTAGAGACACCAAACAAATTGTCACTCCTCCTCCTTCTCTTCCATTACCTTCCAGCGGACTAGGAAGGGCTTGCTAAGCGGTTGGGCGGGTAGGGGCAGGCAAAGGGGAGTGTGCAGAGCTTGAAGGAAAGGTGGGAGACATGGCCTCTGTTCACTTGTGTTCTTTTTTCTCCTTCTCTCTGATAGCCCCTTTGGCTTTATTTGGGGGGCTTGTTATCTTTTTTGTTCCTCAAAAACTAATGAAGACACCCCTCACACACACACACCCCAGCAATGTTTAAGCTTCATACAAGAAAATCTGTGTCTGTTCTGGTGGCTGCTTACTTACCTTTTAGAACAGCAGCCTGGGCAAGAGAGGGAAGGCCTTTCTTTCTCTTAGAGGCTCAAATGGTGGGCTCCTGTCAGGAAAACTGGTAGGCAGATTATAGTACTGTCTTACTTCCTAAAAACCGTGGGGAGGCTGGTTGACATGCCCTCGTAGTGCTCGGTGTGGGCTGCAGGAGGAATGAGCTGTTCTTCCTTGGTCTGCCATAGTTATTTGAAATGTTGATCGTAAGAATGACTTACCTTCTCTTCTGTCTCTTTGCATTCTAGGAAATCATTGAGTTCCCCATCCTGAAGTTAAATGGCCGTACCATGGAAATTGAGTCTACCTTTCACATGTATGTCCAGCCTGTAGTCCACCCACAGCTTACCCCCTTCTGTACAGAGGTAAGGGTTGCTGGGAGAGGAGCTCTGGGATTGTTGGTTCATGCAGGCCACTCAGGGAAGGCTAGATCAGACCAGCGGTTAAGGCAAAAACCCAGCAATGGTTTCTTTAGTCTGTGACTACTTGAGTACATGTCCCCAGGGATTGCAGTGATACCGTTTACCCCAGACTTTCCAACATTTCCCTTTCTTCTTGTCCCCAACATTCCTGGCAACTCAACCTTGGAGTGAATCTCTGAGTAGTATGGGACTCAGGCTCTTTCCTGTTCCATTTTCAGTAGGGCCTGTTGGGAAGCATGAGGATTTCAGCCACATTCTTATACTCAGGCGTTCTGACTTCCTAAGATGGTGATGTTGCTCTGTCCTTCTGCAAAGTAAAGCACAGCTCTCCCACCAAGGACAGAGAAGACAGGTTGGCCAAGGCTCAAGTGTCCTTGTCTAGTCTACCTTGTCTGAAGTTTAGCAGACCCCATTTTGCAGACTGCAAAAATGGAGCTGAGATTTTGATGCTTGCCTGAGGTTTAAAGAGTTCTCAGCAGAGAGAGAAGCGTGGGAGGGCCCACTCCCAGAATGATCAGAAAGAATGAGAAGCTTTCGGTGGCTACTTTCCCTGTAATGTGCCATGCCATGCATTCTGTGGTGGGATCACTGGTCAGGCATGCATGGGAGCAGAGGTGACGGAAAACATTAATTTGGAGCTGAGATGTACTGAGTCTTTGTGCCTTCATATAAAGACCCACTTTCTACGCATGAGTGAAATAGGGGAAAGAAGTACTTAGGGGATCCCAGCAGTTTTGTTGGTTTTGTGGAAGAGGCTGAGGAACGGCCTGCTAGCTGTAGTGGGCAATTCAGTGGGCCCTGAGGCTGACTAGCCCAGATACTCCGGAGCTGCTTCTGATCTCATAGCCAGTGTTTACCATCTGGCCAAGGTGGGCCTTTTATGGCACATAGCCATCTATCTGTCCAGTGTCCAGTGTCCTAAGACTTTCTTTCATTCCAGCTCATGATGTTGAAGCTTTCCCTCATTTTCTTTCTTCCCCTGGAAATTGCTCTCCCACCAGGGCGAGTGGCTAATTGGCCCCTTGCTCCCTTTTAGAAAAGTCACCTTTCAACAGCGGAAGGTTACTTCCCAACAGCCTGGAAGCCATGCCAAGCTCTCTTCTATCCGGGTACTAACAGGCCAACCTGGTTAGCTTAGTTTCGGGGAACAAATGATACGGGGATATTTAGGCTGGTATGGAGCTCTGAGGCTACATTGCCTGGTGTGAACCAGAGGCCTAGATCTTGGAGTGGTTGCTGCAAGTTCAGGAATGGCAGAAGGCTGCTGGTGCCAGCCTTTGACAAGGGTAGATGCTCCAGAACCTAGGGACGGAAGGCTCCCAGAGAGCATCCTCCATTGCAGTTTTTGGTGCAGCTTTGTGAGACTATAAGGAAAGCCTATTTTTCTTCTTAATAATTTTACCAAGAAATCCATGATTGGAGGGTGACGGGGGTGGACTTCTAGATTGGACCCAAGCAGCTTTTCTAGCAGAGTTTATTTCTCAAATACACAAGAGTTCTTAAGAACCCTAGTATGGTAAGGTACAGGGGCATGTGTCTGTAATCTCAGTACTCTTTAGTCAGAAACAGGAAGATGAGGAGTTCAGTGCTAGCCTAGATTAAATGAGACTGTCTCAGACATACAAATAAGTATACGTGATCACTCATTGTTATTCTTAAAAAAACGATTAGAGAGCTGCTGCAAACGATCCCCAGGCGGGCTGGCGGAGGGAGCCCGCCATGAGGGCGGCTACAGGAGGGCACGCTTCCTTGGCCCATGGTGGCGGCAGGTAACAGACACGTAAACACAGGAAATAGCCATAAGTATTTATTAAGGAAGGGGGAGAAAGAAAGACAGAGAAAAGAGATAAAAGGAGAGAGGAGAGATAAAAGAAGAGAGAGAGAGAGAAAACGCGTGCGCACGCTAAGGAAGCAGAAAGAGAGAGAGGTCCCAAGATGGCGATGGGCGGGTCAGAGGTTATGGGAGTGGGCGTGGCTAGGGCAGGGACCCAAGAATATCACTCATGCTTGTAATCCTTGTACCTAGGAGGCTGAGATAGGAGGCTGGGTGTTGGAGGCCAGCCTGGGTTAACCTAGTGAGTTCAAGGCTGTAATTACAAAGGTCCAGGGCTAGCTCAAAAAAACACCCAAACAAAACCTCTAACCTGTGTATGTGCATGTATGCGTGAGCACATGTTTGTACAGTGCTGGGCCACAGAGAGATGGCTTTGGCCTGAGCAGGACTGTAGCCCCACAAATGCTCATGTTGCTTAGTGAGGAGGGGCTCAGCCTCCTGAGGTACCGCCTTAGTCTATAGACATGCTGAATATGGCTTTGGTGTAGACGGGTGGATGTTCCTCTCCTGTGGCCTCTGGAATCTGTCCCAGCTTGTGAGCTTGTGCTCCAGCAGCTGGCTGGCTGTAGTCCCTGGCCATGTACAGTCTCTTGTTGTTGTCATGAGAAAAGAGAGAGAAATACCCTTTTTGCTAAATGCCAGTAAAGGGCTTTGTCTTGCACCTGTACTTATAAAGGGTGAGATTTATTGGTCTCTTTGTGTGAGAAGAAAGAGTGAGTCTGGGTATCAGATTGCAGACCAAAGACAAGTGCTTATGTAATCAACAAACCGGCTTGGTGTCGGAGGCGATTGTGTTGGAGATAAACTGTGAAAGGAGAAGGTACTGACGTGCTGTTGGCACTGAGTTTCCTGAGCTGCCTCCTGGAGTTGCTACTGTTTCAGATAAAGCCAGCTCATCCCTGGACAAAGCCCTCATGCAGGGGTAGGGGTATTGGAACCAGTAGTATGACCCGCCTGTGGTTTCTGTCTGGAGAAGTGGGAGTTAATCTGTAATTCCTCAGTGAAAGGAGCCAGAGAACACATATTAATTCTTCCCCGCACCTCTCCTACCTTAAGTGGTTAAGGCCTTTGAGCCCCCTTTAGCCTGCAAGCCCTGGTTCTCAGCTTAACAAATACTTGGCTCTGCTCTAGTACCTTTCATGGTAAGGATATGAAAGCCCTTTTGCAAACATACTAATCTAAGTAGGAATGGGTCTAAAACCACAGCAGGAAAGATTTAAGGTAGGCCTAAGATAGAACTTCCCAGTTAATTTTATCAAGTACAGGAACTGACTTTCTCAGTTTTAGCCCCCTTCATCCAGTGTACCCTGGCAGAGCTAGTAAGAGGTGGCTCATTCTTTGGGTGATGAATCTATCCCTCCAAGAACTGTCTCAGTCCCCTAAGGGCTAGGAGGCTGTGTCTAGTTCTACTATTGTTGAAGCCTTTGTCTCTGAGGCTGACTTTAGTCCCAAAGGACTTCATTGGTGAGCCACACTGCCTGGCCACCAGTGGAAAAGCTTGTCGTCTAGGAGGCATGGTGAGCACAGCTGACCTCCATGTGGGGACAGATGGGCCTGGCTTGCAGCGAGGAGTCCTGCAGCCCTCTAGTAGACGCCTGTGTGGGGGGCGGGGGGGGTGCTAAAGTTTAAATCCAAGGCTTTGAGTGTGCTAAGCAAGTGCTGTGCTGCTAGACTACTGGTGTAGTGTGTTTCTTATGCACATCTGGTTTTCCCAGGGCCTCAGTTCTTGCTCTGTGCCTTTGTCTGCACATTTAAGACTTTCTGAAGCCTCCATTGTTGAGCTTCTCTGAACTCCCGTGGGTAGAGCCAGAGAAGGGGCCTGGCACTCGATGCAGACTGGTGCTTAGACCCTGGGGCTTCCAGAAGTGAGAGTGGCTGTGGGCCTTTCCACCACAGCCTTGACCCAACCCATCCCTCTACCCTGGAAGAATTTAGTGCGAGCTAGCAAAGCTATGGTAAGCAGCTGTGGTCCCTGGTTGTCAGTCTGTCTTCTGGAAAGTGGACCTGAAGTTGAGATTGAGAGTTTCTCCCTGAGTCTTAGTCCCTGTGTGTCTGACAGAAAATGCAGAACAATTTTTTTTCTGCTCTGGGTGTTACCCGGGCTGGGCATAGGAGGGCACTGTGGTGACAAGGGCAAATTCCAAGAAGGCAGGGCTTTCATGCTCCTGTGCAGGCCCCTGCTGCTCTGGCACATAGTAGGTGCCAGGAGAATGAACAAGAGGATCACTCTGTTGTCAAAACCTCCCTCCCGTGCAGGCTGCCTCACCTCCCTCGCGCTGTAGCAGGAGACCAGTCTTTTCTACTTTTTGACTCAGGCCCTCCCTCTGCTGGGCAGTTCTCTGGTCTCTCAAGCAAGGAAAGGGTGTGGAGGTGCCAGCCGGGTGGGCATGCTGTGGGTTAAAGCCTTGCGAAACAACAGTGTAGTTAATCTTTCTAATTTATTTTCCTTTTAGACCATGGGAAGTCTGTAGGCAGCAGCTGTTACCCAATTAAAATACAGATTAATATAAAAACAGTTTCTGGAATATAAAATAGAGTGGCTGTGTCCTTACACTTCCTTAAAATACCACCTAATAATGACTTGATGAACTACAGAAACCCACCTAGAGGAACTCAGCATTCTTAAAATGAAAATTTCTTCCCTAAAAGGTGTGTATTACCATTCCATGTAAGTCACTATGAGAAAATAACCTTCCCTCTTAGAGCCAGCACTTTCTGCGAGTTGGGTATTTGGTATTCATTAAATGTAATTATAGTTTAATTGGAGTTTTAGGCCCCTTCCCCCACTTCAACAAAAAAGTTGTTTCCAAGCCAGCCCGACATACTTCTCTTTGTGAAACTAGCCAGGGACATGATGGCCTTGTGATTTCTAGCTAGTATCTGACACAGGACCTCAGGCCTCAGATACTGATAGGAAGTCTATGCCTACTCTGTGCTTGGGGGATATTTTTACTCTAGAACTAATAAAGCAAAACAAGCTTGCTTAAAGCTAGGCCTGACCTGGGCATGGCCTATACCTGTGAGTCAGTCCTTAGGCCAGAGTCTATACAATAGGCCTTTTCGTCTCTGTCTCCCCACTGCTCATAGGTGGCCTTCCAGCTTGGCTAGGTGGCGTTAAGGACTGAGGTGTGCAGATTTCTGAGAAGCTTCACTGTGTTTGGGGAAGTGCTGGATTAACAGAGGCTCAGAGAAAGGGAAGACTCAAACCCAAGTGTGCCAGGTGCCGTGAAACTTTTGTGAAGCTGGCGTCCAATGTGCCTTAAGACTAATTTGTGGAGACTCTTTGCACCTGGTGAATACAAAAGACATGTAAAATTAAAGAAAAATTCCTCCCAAATAAAAGTTTAAACAAGCATGGAGCCTGTCCTGCTGTTAGCATGGGTATGCAGGCCCATCTCAGGTGAGGCTGCTGTTGGGATGTTCATACAGCATCCTCGGACATGATCCCAAGCCCCTAGCCTGGCCCTGACCTTGAAGCAGTGAGGACCCAACCCTCACATTGGGAGGAGGAAGAGAGGGAACAGGATGGACTATTCAGCACCTTGGTTTTCTATCCAAAGACTGTTTTTCTCTCCTTACAGCTCACTGGGATCATTCAAGCCATGGTGGATGGCCAGCCAAGGCTGCAGCAAGTGCTGGAGGTAGGTTGAATGACCTTTAATTCCTGACCTCTGACCTCTTCCTGCTGCCTTTCTTTCCCTCCCCTCCAGAGAATGTAGCCGTATAATTTGACTATGATTATGGCTTGATTAGAATAACATTTGCTGTCACATCAGTGACATGCTGTTGAGAGTATTGAACCATTGATCTGTCATCTCCAGCTGTTCCCGTCAGGGTTACTGACAAGATGTCCAAGTGCTGCCAGGAGTCAGGCAGAGCCCCTCCTCGCCTGGCCTATGGCCCTGTGCAGGAGGCCTGCGCTGGGTGGGCTGGGGCAGGGGAGCTGCTTTGCAGCCTTGCGGGATTAGCCCCAGGGACTGGAGGTGTTTTTGTTTAGCTTTGGTGTTGGCTCCTTGTGGCATGTGAGCACTTCATTAACTCACCCAGAACTCCCATCGATGGCTTTTGTTTGCTGTCAGCTCCTCCAGGAGCTGCAGGCAGCTGCGTGCCCCACTGCAGCTTGCTGCAGGATGCAATGTGCCTGTCGGGTGCAGAGGCTGCACTGGGTAATGATTCCTAATCAGAATAATTACAACAATTGCCTATGTGAGGGAAATCAAATTAAAGACTTTAGAACTCTTGGCAGAGACCACACTTCTTGGGTATTCTCCTCAGGGAATTGGGAAAGGTTAAGGCACGGCTTCCTGTGCTCCAGCTTGGGGGTGGGGGAATAAGGAAGAGGCTATGCTTGGTCTCAGCCTCCCTCCTCTCAACCCCTCCAGCCTCAGGATTTTCTAAGAAGAAAGGTTCATTCCTAGCCCTGCCCTGTAGAGGAGGCAGACAGCAGCAAGCCTGTAGATTTCACTGGGTGCTTTATTTGTTTGTAAGACTCGTAAATCCAAAGCTTAGACCTTATCAGTGTTCAGGAGGAATAGCAAGGCTCATTGACATGGGAGGTGGACAGCAAAAAGGTGGAGTTATGGCATCAAAAGGGAAACATCTCCCCTTAGCCATAAATCCTGTCCCCTCAGGGAGCATTGTGCCCTGAACATCCTGGACCCATCGGGATAGAACAGGTCTCAAAGGCAAGCTCAGCTTACCTCAGTGGCAGTGGGGACTCCGCATTCCTGGAGTCTAGAGGTCCAGACATGTCGGCTCAGTTTTGGCCATGGTGAGGACACTTGCAGTAGATGGCAGAAGGGAAGGGAAGGTAACTTCTATTTGCCTCCCTGCTTTACTGTCCTTTTGAGATGTAGTCCGTTGCTGGGACTGATGGGTGCACTCGTTGCCAACAGCATCCCCAACCCCCCTTGCTCTAAGAGAGGATAGAGGAGTGACAGCATTCCTCAGGAATGTCTGTTGCTGGGGTCCTGATGGAGTGTTCTGGGTCAGCTCCAAATCAGGGTCATTAAAGTAATGGTTTGAGTTGAGGGAAGATGTGTTCAGAAGACACCTTCCTGGAGTAGGCTGCTTAGGATGTTCTCAGTCATCCACGCCTGGGACTTTTAGTTGAGAAGGGAAGATTTCCAGTGTCAACCCGATAGAGTTTCTGGAGGACAAGGACACCATACTGGTCCTATCAGTCAGTTACAGAACTAAACTGTGAATTCTTGTCCCCACCAAAGCAGCCAGCAAGATGCTCACCTGACTCATTTGTCTGGAGTAGCGCTCAGGCTGGGCTCACTACTCTGCCAGGGATGGGAGGGGCTGCCCCATGGATGGATGAGTTGTCTTATGGCTCCTATCGCTTCTCTTCATTTAGGCAGAACAGGGGAGACCAGGCCTGAGTGTCTGGGCAGACTCACAGTGAAAGATGCTCACTAAGTTTCTGCCACATGGTGGAGTGTGAGTACCTCTTGGGGCAAAGGTGGTCATGCTGGCTGAGTCCTTCTGACAGTCCTGTCCTGTCCTCCTCTCTTTACCCAGTGTGAGATGGGGTGTTAGCATCCTACCATGTGGGACACTTGAGTGTATAGAGTCAGCCCCCTAATGCAAAGTTTTAGGGATTTCAGAAGCTCTGAATTGATCTTATCTCTTCTCTGGAATGAAATCTGTCTTTTCTTTAGGCGACCTTGGGTAAAATTGTAATGGTGTGTGTCTTCACATGTGTACGTGTGTATAAGGGATTAAGCCAGATTGCTGAGGGAGACATGTGGCAGTGGAATACCCAGCCTCACTGTTTAGGAGGTTCCCAGACTGGGGAAGATTGGTAGGCAGAGATACAGATTATGAAGAGGCCTTAGAGACTGTGTGATCTACACAGTGTGTACCAGAGAGCAGCTCTCACACTCTGCGTTCTGGCCTCCCATGGAACGTGAGTGGTTTTTTAGTCTTCTTACGGGGATCTTCAGGGGCTCAAAAGTGCCAGCAGAGCTAGCCACACCTGCTAGGTGGGGTAGCCTTCCTTGGAGCAGCGCGTGCTCTCAGTTACTGCTTATCTCACAGCCCCTCTGCAGTCTGCTCTAACTGGGCTTCCAGCCTTTGCAGCACTGTACGCTTTGCTCTCACTAGACTTCCATCTGTTAATGTCCTCCGTAATCAAGTATCTGTTGTTTTGAGACAGGGTCTACTGTATAGCTTAGGCTGGTTTTTGAATTGTCTATATAGCTCAGGCTGCCTCAAACTTGCAGTCCTCAACCCTGCAGCTTCCAAACTGCTGGGATCACAGATGTGTGCCATTGTTCCTGGCAACACATTTGTATGGCTTTAAGCCCGGGTCTGGGTTTGGGATTGGGACAGTGAATGAAGCAGACACCTCCCCGCTCCTCCTTGCATTTCTCCAGTCTGCTAGGGAAGACAGACTTTAACCAACAGTCACATCTATACACAGTCATTACACCTCCTATACTGTTGCCAGGAGTGTTCCTTCTTCTTGGGCCTTCCTGCAGCAGTCTGGCCACTTTCCCATCTCCCCTTCTCTTCTCTCAGCCTCCTATCTATTGTAGGGGAAGCATTTGACACATTATCACATTTAATTCTCAGAACAACTTGGTAAGGATTGTCATCTTAGTCTGTTTTATAGGTAAAGGAAACTGGGGTTCAGTGGTGTTAAATGATTTTTAAACGACTTCAAGTTAGCAACATAATCAGGAGAAGGAAAAGCCAAGGGTTGGAACCTAGATGTGTGTTACTTTCAATTCTGTGTTTCTAACTACTGTATGATAGAGACTTAAAAAATAATCCTCCCGTGCAAGTAGAAGCCATGGTCTGATTGGCTGGACTCCCTTCCTGTGCCTGGGATCGTCTGAAAAATAGGCAATGCTTCATGAATTCTTTATGATAATTCTCTTGTTATATACCGATGCTCATGTTTGTACTCTGGTGTGAGTGCAAACAGTAAAAGCAGCTGGAGGCATGAGGAGGACTTAGGTGTGCTTAGGAAATGATTTCTTTCCCTGTATAGCACTTGAGCACAGTCCTCAAAATACTCTGCTGAATTTGAACCCTTGACTGGAAAGGGAGAAATGCAAAATAGAGCCTGTTTCTAGACTTTGAGCAACTAGAGCAGACAGCATTGCCTCACTGCTGGGAAGGTCCTTTGGAGAGAAAGGGCTCCGTCTTCACTTGATGAATAACTAGGTTCATCAGCACAGTAGGTGTGAAATAGCAGCAGAGTGCACGAGGCTATAGGTAACATCCTGCTTATGGCTTCTTTCTGCCCTTATCTTATGGCCCAGGATATCCTGTGCTTGTTGCCTTTGTGTGACAGGCAAGGAAAGACAGTCAAGTCTGAGAAGGGTGTTTGGACTGCCAGTTGGGATCCTGAGTAGCCTGCCACACGTTGAAGGGTAGAGGGCTCCCTCTCTCACCACACACAAGCTCATGATGTCTTCCCAAAGGGGTCATCCTTGAAGAACCTCTGTAGTCCAGAACCAAGCCAGGGCTTAGAGCCCAGCCCAGCTGGATGAGATTCCCATTCCTCCTCCTCTGGTAACAAGCGGCTTATCTGCGTGTCACTGTTGGGGCTATTCATAGGCTCAGAAGAAGGACAATCTCATCTGTTCTTGTGTACTTTCCAGAGGGTCGATGAGTGGATGGCGAAGGAAGGCCTCTTAGATCCAAACGTCAAGTCAATTTTTGTCACCTGCGGAGACTGGGACTTGAAAGTCATGTGAGTATGCAAAGGGCTTCTTTGCTGCAGGGCTTGGCGTCTAAGGGACCAGGCTTTGCCTTTTAGGGCTTAAATGTTCAAGCCTGCTGGGCAGCAGGGGTCTGGGCCTTTGAGGTCACCAGGTTAGAGGAAGGCTGGTAGCTGTGACTTCTAGGCATCTCTGCAACAGGGCAGGGACAAGTTAGGGCCTCCTAGGACTGCTGTTGTTGAGTCTTCTTGTCTTTGACAAGTCTTGCTGCTCTCAACAGCCCTTCTAATTGCTGGCCTGCATGTTATTGACACAGAAGGAGGGCATTAACAGAGGATTTGTGGGGAAGGGAGGATATATTTGGTGTTTCCAGACAGGGTTTCTCTGTTTAACAGCCCTGGCTGTCCTAGAACTCACTTTGTAGACCAGGCTGAGCTCAGAATCACAGAGATCTGCCTGTTTCTGCCTTTAAAGTACTGGAATTAAAGGTGTGTACTGCTACCACCAGCTGTTTTGTTTTTGTTGTTGTTGTTTGTTTTGTTTTAAATCTTTTAAACAGAAAACTATTTTACTATTTGGAGTGTTCTGAAATAAGAACTCATTCATCAATACTGTGAAGTAGGTACTGTTCACATTTCTCTTTTATAGTGAAAGATATTAAGGCACAGAGAAGTTAAGTAACTTTCCTAGGGCCACACAGCCAGGATTTAGACCCAGCAATTGGTCCTGTGATCCTTTCTCTTAGCTGTTACTATGCTGCTCTGTTATCTGCATTGTGAGACCCTGGTGGTCCTGATGGAGAGACTGCTTCTGGGAAGCTACCCAAGTCACCTCCTCTCTCTTCCTTTGTCCCCCACCCCCACTTCTCCTTTGTCTTCTGATCCTGTCCTATCTGGTTGTGGAAGACAGGACAGGCTTCTTTGCTGGGCTGACACTTGTGCTTCTTGTCTGTCCTCATGGACACCTGGCTTCCGACAGCCCCTGGGGAACCAAAGGGAGTGAGTGGGGGCACTGTTTGCTGAGGATGGGTAGAATCAATATCACTGTGTTCTTTGTGACTGAAGCAGCAGCAGGCATTCTCTCTCTCTCTCTGTCTCTCTCTCTCTCTGTCTCTCTCTCTCTCTGTCTCTCTCTCTCTCTGTCTCTCTCTCTCTGTCTCTCTCTCTCTCTCTCTGTCTCTCTCTCTGTCTCTCTCTCTCTCTCTGTCTCTCTCTCTCTCTGTCTCTCTCTCTCTGTCTCTCTCTCTCTCTCTCTCTGTCTCTCTCTCTGTCTCTCTCTCTCTGTCTCTCTCTCTCTCTCTGTCTCTCTCTGTCTCTCTCTCTCTGTCTCTCTGTCTCTCTGTCTCTCTCTCTCTCTCTCTCTCTCATTTCAGAGGGGGAGCAGTAGGTGGGGGGGGTTGTTGGTAGGAGTGAGGTATAGTGACTTAGCAACTCTTACTGCCAAATCAAATAACACATTCTCACCAGGGTCCCTTGTGTGCTTGTAGACCCTGGTTATTAAGATGAGCTTAGGCCCCCCAGGTGGGTGTCAAGCCTGCTTTTGGACCTTAGACTTGTGAGGGAATCAGGAAGAATAATCTCCAAAGCACATGGGCACACAGCACTTGAGTGTTCCACCCTTTTGGCTGTGTATAGCTACTAGCTACACACCTCTAGGTTTGCTCCAGAGAGTCTCTGTCCTCTCACACGACAGGCGAATTATACAGAGTGGGTCTGGAAGTCTGGAGGTAGATGTGAATCAGATGCATTGATTGAGGAGGCGTTGAGAGGGCCTTGATTTTTGAGATAAGATCTTGTATACAACTAACCCAGCTGGCCTTGAACTCACTACATAGGATAATTACTGATTGTCTTGCCTCTGCTTTTCAAGTTCTGGGATTATAGGAGTGTTCCACCATACCTGGTATTTGTGGTGCTGGCTACTGAACCCAGGACTTTGTGCATGCTAGGCAAACACTCTACCAACTGAGCTACACCCCAGCCTAGGAAAGCTGTTCTCATTTGTATATGTTGATTTGAAGCCTAGACAGTCTTATGTGGAGGCTCTGTAGCCCAGGAGATGCCCAACTATTCAGATGGGACAGACTCAGGCTGATATCCCAGATTCTAGGGTTCACATGGAAGATGCTTTGACCTGGTCCAGGGCCCAGTTCCTCTAGGTAGCCTCTCCAGGCAGGACTCCTACTCTTTCAGTGTTTTCCTCTCTGGTATCGTCATCCTCCCAGTACTGGTACTTCTGAATCTGCTGCTGTCTCTTGTGAATGGTGTGCACAAGCATGCATACAGACTACTTGATGTACATGGGACTAGAGACCATGTTGCTGGGCCTCCTCAGTTTGGAGTTGCTCCATGAGATGGAGAGGCAGCATCCTTGGTGTCATCCTTGGTGAGCCTCTTCTGGTCTGTAGCACAGACCTGTGCTACACTGCCATTCTGTGTCTTAATGAGAAATGATATCTGGATTGGGTTGCAGAATCCAAGTGTGTATATCATTTGGTCCTAACCACTGTCTCTGGTAGGAGGCGATGTCTCCCTTTTATAAACACAGGAAACAAACAAAGCAAAGCAGAACACCTTAGGGTGCACAGAGGTTAAGAGTCAACCAAACCAAAAGGAGTTCCAAGACTTCACCGTTTCATTTACCTGAGTTTGGTGGGGAAGTCAGGGCTCTGAAGAAGGGTATGCCAGAGGCAGCAGCTGCTGGGTGGGGGAGGAGGGCCTTGTGACTGCCTTTAGAAGCTGGACTCCGCATAACTGCTGGGAAAGCTCTTAATTAAATGTGTAACAAAATAAAAGCGGCCAGAGAGAAAAGGTAAGCAGTGCGGCGTGACTGTGCACTGCTTATTGGTGTTCTGGAGCCTTGGTAGGGCTGTCAGCGGCTCTCAGCAGAGCCCCTGTACTGTGCGCCTGGAAAGGCTGCTGCTGAGCCTGACAAGGCTCTGTGAAATTGACACTCATAACTTGTTAGTATGTGGCTGGCTTGGTATTTTGACATCCAGATTTAACTAAGTCTAAAGAATTCAGCCAGTGTTTTCATTTCACAACTCTCGTTCCGGGAAGCCACAGCTCCTCCTCCTTGCTGCTGTTCTTCCAGCCCCAAAGCCGCTTCACACGTCACCATTGTTGGGAGAGGTCTGATTAGTGCAGCACTGAGAATGGGAACTGGAGTGGCCGTAGAAATCCCACCGGAGCAAAGAAATCTGCTCTCATCCTGACAAAATTGTTTCATGTCCATCTTTCTTGAGTGGGACGATGGTCTGGGTTTGTGGGGCTTGAAGCTGTAGCCACAGCTACTGTTATGGTGAGCTTGAGGCTGTAGCCACAGCTACCGATATGGTGAGTTTTAGGTAGTGAGTGTGAGTTTCGTTTTCTTCTCTACTTTTTTTATTTTATTTTATTATTATTATTTTGGTTTCTCTGGCTGTCCTAGAACTCATTCTGTAGACCAGGCTGGCCTCGATCTCAGAGATCCACTTGCCTCTGCCTCCCAGAGTGCTGTTTGTTATTAAAAGCATGTGCCACTACCACCTGGCTTAAATTTTCTTCTATATGTTTTATAGAAAAGATACTTAATAGGGTTTAGTTTAACTCCCCACCCCTCGCAACTGACCTCTCCTCATTTTACCTGTTGTTCCTTAAAGAAACCCCAAGGGGTTTTGATCCTACTGCATGTACTGGCTTTGTGGGAGCCTAGGCTGTTTGGATGCTCACCTTACTAGACCTGGAAGGAGGTGGGAGGTCCTTGGACTCCCCACAGGGCAGGAAACCCTGATTGCTCTTCAGGCTGATGAGGGAGGGGGACTTGATTGGGGGAGGGGGAGGGAAATGGGAGGCGGTGGTGGGGAAGAGACAGAAATCTTTAATAAATAAATAAATAATTTTAAAAAAAAGGAAAGAAACCCCAAGGGGTTTCTTGTTCCTTTGCTTAACCAGTTGGGGAGTGTCCAACCTTGGGGTGGTAGACAGGTAAGGTTTATGGATGCTGAGGAGTGAGACCTGCATGGCCAGCCATTTGAAGGACTTGAGCTCTACCCTGTGGCCTGAAGCTCCAGGCTTACCAGCTGAATAAAATGTGTTTGAGAAGTAGACCAGTGGCTTCCTAGGTGGGCTTTTGATCTAAGAAGAGGATCAAACGAGGGAGGCAAGACTGGAGGCAAAGCTGGCAAGAGGGAGGCACAGGCCTCAGTGCAATTTGCAGGGAGGCCTATTTTGGGTAATCGAGCACTATCCTGAGTAAGGGAGGGGCTGGGGCCTGCTTGTGGTTGGTTCAGAGGACTTTCATAGTCAGCTCACCTTTAGTGTAGGGAGGTCTCCCGCTCCCTCTACATCTAAATGCAGAGCTGGCACTGAATGTTCTTTGTTTCTCCTCATGACTTTTGGGATGTCCATGCTGTGTGTGCCCTGCGCCTGTACTCTGCAGAGATGGACCTAGAGCACCCGAGGGCTAAGAAAGTCTGGAGAGTGAAGGGACCTTGTTCACTGTTCGCTGCTCACTGCTGGTGTGGAGAGTGTGCACTGGGCTGCAGTCAAGTTGAAGAGCAAGACTGCTGGTACCTGCAGTGAAGTGACTCAGCAGGCTAGTAGTTCTCCTAAGGTGCTAGCTGTGGGTCAGGTGGGGCCTCTAGCTCATTCAGGAGAGCTAATCTTGTCATCTTGACATGATAGTCTTTAACTTTGTGTCTTCTGATTCCTTGGCTTCTCCTTAGTCGCTTTTGCAGTTTACTCTTTTAGGTTTTTCCTAAGCTTGGTGTTTTTGTTCTTGAGACAGGGTCTCTCTGTGTGGCCCTGGCTGTCCACAAACTTACTTTGTAGACTGGCTGGTCTTGAACTCACAAAATTGTCCCTGCTTCTGTGCCTCCCGCCAGGAGAGGACTGGGATTAAAGGTGTGTTCCACCGATGTTGGTGTTTCTAAAATATTGGTGCTGTTTTGATCCCTGTCCTATCTTGCATTTTCCTTCATTCTTGCTCTCATCGGAGTAATCTTGCCTTTTGCTAGAGCTTCACCTGTTTGTGCACTGAGCTCTCCAGTCTT